AGCACCATTTCTCTGAGATTCATAAAGATGGTCAGCTACCGTTCATGCTCATCATTCATTTAAATCAATCCCTGCTCCAATCACTGACCTGCAGAGAGTCATTTGACAGTCCTAGGAGGATGGGCTTCCAATTCAAAACGCACCTACGTCCAACACCTCAGTAACTCGACCATACGTTACTTTCCTGTGCAGTACTCCGCTCCTGAGCCAGAAGCCATTCCCGTGACAAATACACCCCCCTCGTCAAATCATCCAAACTCTACACTGCTTGCTTGGGACCAGCTGGCCTCAGCTCTTGACAACCTCGACATCCTGGGCCATAAAGAATCAATTTCAGTCACTGCTCAGGACAATCATACAACCCCAGAGTCCTGCTTTATGAACTGTTCTGGAATATACGCCCACATCACTGCTTGCACCAACCTACTCCAATGTTCCATTATAGAGCTGTACAGAAAAGTTCACTACCCCATGTTGCTAGCAAATTGGAAACCTTGGGTGGAGAAATGGCTCATTAATTGCATGACAGAGCTTCACTCTGTTCATGATGCTGTCAGAATGGAGGCCCTCAGAGGATTTATGTAGGTTCTCCCCACTGTCACAACTTGGAAACACTGTCAATTGGAACTAATTGTTATCTGCTAGTGACCATCCTCCATTGAGAGGACTAATTCAGCCACTAAATCATCAGAGCACCGTCATTCAATATGCCTCGATTGCAGCCGAATTCATTATCTTTACTTTGCAGACAGCCTGTCAACCTCTGGCAACACATTTTTGGTCCGACGGTGATAGCCAACTAGCCACCAGTGTGAAAAAGGCAGCATCTTTGTTGCCTTTAATCCAATGTGCTGATCTCAATTCAGAGCAGGAATTTTCCATCATCCTTAATACTCTCTTCTGGCAATCCGTTGGTTTCTCGTGCTCAATCCGAAAACGCTCTAAAGTTCAGTCCGCACTGGAGCAGTTCATCGCCCTCTCAACAATCAAGCCCGATGGATCCTTCTGCCCACCATCTGACCTGACCCAGACAATTGCCGCCCTCCAGTACACCATTCGTGTGGCCACAATCTTTGTCTGTCTGCGTGCAACAGAGCTGTTTGCGGAAAATCCTCCAGATGGCTTCGATCCCCATAACCCACACGCTCTCGACTGCGCATCCATCCACGTGTTCTTTCGGTACTTCCATGATGAAAAACTCATCTCTCCCTTCTTCACCATTAGCAACTGGATGCGGCTAGCCTCGTCATCAGAATTTGATGAAGATCTTCCAATCTCTAGCTACTGGGCCAACTCAGAAATGACACAACTGGTCATTGGCCCCACAACAATCACAATTGCGGCCGTGCAGAGAGCCCTCAGAATTGCAATCTCTTCCATTAATGGTGTCATCCATACAACTCTCCATGGCGCTTTGTTCCCCGCTTTCCCCCACTCTAAACTCATGGATATGGCCGAAAACACATCCGTTGGGTTCAACTATCTCGTTGCTCCTGTAAACATGCCGATTCACCATTTCAAACTTCTCCAAGATTGGATGCTCAATCATTCTTCCTATGGCATTGCGCCTCCGGCCTGGGCATTGGCGGTTTCCTTCAAAGACGGTCAATTCTCGGTCAACGTGGACAACACCTGCTCAAGGAAACATGCCTGGGACTGGCTTGAAAGGGCTGATCTCATTCTTGAGCACATCTACTTCATTTATCGTGTTGGCTGTGGTCTACCTGATTGTAGAACTGAAGAAGCTGCTACTCTGATCAGAAATCTCCATTCAGCTCCAAGAAACATCTACTGGCGGGAAAACAGATTTCTATTTCAAACCTACCACCACAACAGGCCAAGCCAAGTCTACCTCACCACAGACCTATCCATGCATTTACACAATTATCTAGCTTACATTCGCCCGGTTCAAATGTGAGCATCCTGTGCTCATCTCTACTTGCACACAAAATACTGATTAAGGTCTACCCAGGATGCTTCTCAGGGCTCTCAACCAACACGAGACTGCCAACAGCATGTTGAGCTCTCTTTGGGTTGGCAGTAGACAAGGGACTTGGGAATTGGCCCAGTTTGACCAAATTCTTCAAAACCAATTTTTCCTTGCTGGATTAAAGAGGATAGGACTTTGTGCTTGGAGGCAGGCTTCAGTTAGCATTGCCCACGCCCATCTGGCTACCAAGATACCAGCCTCATTAATTTCTACTGAGGATGGTTTGGTCAAACCTACAAGTGAGCAAGAAAATATATTGGATGACATTGGTCTGAAACTAATCACACACATGTGGTCTTCTCCTTGGGCACTCTGATGGCTCAGACCAATATTCAGATGCGAATTTCCTCAATGCGAGTCAGGCATGGCAAGCCTATTGGGGAGTAAGTCCCTCTCCTCAGCCCCTCCCAATCATGTCTGACTGCTGCTAACTTCTCCTAATGTTCCCAGATTGAATCTCACTTAGGCTTTCAGAAAGCATTGCTTCCAGTACCCAACACCTTGGCTCCGGCAAAAAAGGCTCAACAAGCTCTGGCCATTTTCACTCAAGACCCCAATGCCAGCTTCCGTGACGACTTCCAGGGCGAGTGGTTATCATGCCTCTTCAATGATTCTAATCCAGCAGATTTATTAGTGGTTGCAAAGACTGGAGGTGGAAAGTCTTTGGCCTACCTCCTACCCCCACTCATCAATCCAAAGGAAAGACTAGTGATCATCCAGCCCCTCAAAGCCTTGGTAGATCAAACCGTCAACGACTTCAAGAAGCTCAAAACCGTCACAGTGCAGCACTTTGAGAAAGGAAACTTCATCGATCCTCTGGCCCAAGTAATCATTGTAACAACAAATCAGGCTGCCGACTCTCACTTCTGCAACCAGCTACGCTCTTGCTTGCCCACACGCATCATCATTGATGAGGCACACTCATTCCTTGAAGACGGATACCGTGGATACATGCCTGGAGTCACAGCGCTCACTCAGCTGTCCACTCAACTCATCCTCACAACAGCCTCGTTGCCTCATTCTCAAGAAGACGACCTCCTGCGGATCACCTTTGGACTGCGTCGCTTAATCACCAAACGGCAGCCCACTTTCAGACCAGAACTCAACATTGAGGTCTTGAGATCCCCTGCAAAATGGGAACAACTGTCTTCAGTCATCCAGCCCTTGATCGACTCTTTCCTGGTCGGCCCCAATGACCGTGCAATGATCTTTATTGAAAATAAGCATGCTGTTGAACTGGTAGGGCCCCAAATTGGGGCTGTCATTCACCACTCGGATCTGCCAGACAATGTCGCAGCCTCGGCCGTAGAAAAGTGGACATCCGGTGGGGCTAGATCTATTGTGGCCACCAGCGGATTCGGGACAGGGATCAATTATCTTCACGTCCGTCTGGTCTGCATCTACGGCATCCCCAACCGAGCAACAGCAAACAAGGCTTACCAACAACTTGGGCGCGCCGGACGGGATGGCCACCAGGCTCACATCTTTTTCATTCCAACTGTCTCAGACCCCCATGGCGATATCGATGACTTCAAAAAGAATCTGATGAATCCTGCAGTGTGCCCTGCTAACACCTTTGCTCAACATCAAGATAATCTCAACTGGTCTTGCAGGAACTTTCCCACATTCCTTTCATGTGTCTGTTGCTCAAGATTATCAGCCAACCCAGCTTTACTTCCATCCACCTTATCCTTGTCCCAGTCGTCTTCAATTCCCGATTGGTCCCCCGATCCATCAGCACCAAGCAATTCATACAACTCCTCAAGTACTGTTTCAGCCCTGGCCACACTAGGCGCACATGTGGGATCAGGGCTCGCTCAGTCTCGCAAACGCAGACGCTTGGAAGACACAGATCCACTGGCAGACAAACTTGCCACCTCCAACACTCTGGCGGCCGAGAGCTCCCTCTCAATCACTTCACTGGCCAGGTCTGCTGAGCAAGCTCGTTTGCAATCAATGCCCGACAACAGAGTCAACTCAAACCAGATCAACTGCGACAACTCTCTCATCTCCCATGAGCTCGTCATTCTCCAGAAGTTTATTCGGAAGATGAAGGATGCTTGTGGTGACTGTTATGTTTGGAATAACACAATCACTCCAGCACATCCACGTCAATGCAAACCAATGCATGGAAAGTGCTTGAGATGTAGAGCTGGTGAGCCCTCTTTTGTCTCTTTTGGACTGATTGACAACCAAGTGTGATCCTGGCCGCTGATATGACTTTCTTCTTTCTAGGTAAAGGGTGGGCAAATCACACCCACAGTGGAACCGAGCATACAACCAAGAACTGCTCCTCAACCAGCTTTTCAGATTCTATATCCGAAGGGTCCAAAGGAGCACACGGGTTCAATATTTGCACCAGGTGTGGCCTCCCTGCTGGAACCCAAGATCAGGTCAACTTTCATCCAAATGGGAACGTCGGCCCAAACTGTGATTCCGGATTTGCTAATATTGCAGAGGCTATTTGCTGGTATGTATACCGGGCTCAGAGACCTGAGCTTGGAAAGTGGTTCTCTTCAGCTCCCTTAGACTCTGAGCCTGCATTCTCCAAATGGATTGGTATCACCTCTAAAGATGTCAGTCCAGCTCCTTGGCCAAATGCAATCAAGTTGCTATTGAAATATGAGGAAAATAAATAGTCTTGTTGTTTTGTTTGCTTGCTGTTATGTTGTCTGCTGGATTTATGTTTCTTGTTTTTTCTCTCCATGTTTCCTGGGTTTCTTGTGGTCCTTTTTCTATTTCTATTGAGATCTGACATCGAACCCTCTCATATTCTAGGCGTGTTTTTTCTAAGAGGACTGAGTTAGATAATCAGGCCATTTCTGAATGACATCTTTACAATATTTTGACGGAGGTTCCCATACTCTAGCCCCGTTTTTCTTAGGAGGACTGGGTTATATAATCATCATATTTCTGCAGGGTTATTCCTAAGAAAACTGGGCTACACAATCAGTCCAGTTGAGAATGACAACATTCATTGCTGAATTCCGACTGGTCTCTCCTGTACATCTTTTACTACATCATATTTTCAGTAGTCTTCCTTTTCAGCAAAGGTTGTGTGACTCTGCTATGTGACTTTAGTCGTCAGTCATCTCGCTGTAATCGTCTCGGTTCAATATTGGTCACCGTTGATTGAAGTTTGCCTCTATTGGACTCTTGGCCAATGCTCATATAGTCAAGACAGGCTTCTCTCATCATGATAGCTTTCTCTATGAGTTGTTCTCCTTTTCTCTTCAATCTCCTTGTGGTTTTTGTGGCTTCCTTGGTCCCGTGGATTGTGCCTGAAGGTACTATTGCAATTCATTTTCTTTTGCTTTTCTATTGTGTGTCTTTATTATTGTACTGATTTAGAAAAACAACCTTAAGTTGAGTACTTGAGGCTGTATGCTATGTCTTCCTTCCCTGTCTCTTCTGGTCTTCAGTGTGGATCGCAGAATGATCTTGTGGTCTGCCTTTCTTCAAGTTTGTATGTATGGTGGTGTATGATTGTGTTGATTGCTTTGAACTTCTTGAGGCTTGGTAGGCTCTGTGCTTGGTCATTACCATGTTTATAATTTGCTTGGTAGTTTTGAGACGTCTGATTCATATTGATTGTCATAAATCAATGGGACATATTTTCTGGTACACTGGTGTGTAGTATATAATACAGAATAATCAATGTCACTGAAATGTTGATTTGGGTTGCACTTCACTCTTGCTTTCAATAGCATGTTGATGACACTTTGGATGTCAAAAATTGATGGTAAGATAAAAGTTGTTGACATCTTGGGAGGGCTTTGAATGGGAAAGTGGCAGTTCAAAGGGGCTTGAAGAATGGTTGGCACTTGACCCTGTTGATGATCAATACTAAGTGGACCATTCTGCGGCAGAATTATACACAAAATATGGTGCGTATCAATGTTGATCTGATAACCGGTTGGATGGTCTTCATGTGGGATTGTGGCAACGCAGCAAAGCAGCTGATAAATAGTTGGCACTTGGACGTTTATACGTTTATTATGTTTACCGTCTTTGGGCAAGATCAGACACATTAAACAGATATGGTCACCAAGAAGTTGGATATTGTATCTAGTGGGTGTTCCAAGTGGATGCTTCACATTTACATAGCATAAATAACGGTTGCCACTTGACTCTGGCCATTCATTTGATTTGGTAACATTAGGTGGGAGATTAACTCCAGATGGTTAACAATAACTGGTAGGAATTATTTGCAGGTCATCCCATGGGATGGTGACAATGCCATATGACTTGTAAAAAACTTTGCACTCTTTTGTTTTTATACATACCATGCCAACATTTGGTGTACAAGAGTTGAGACAACAACACAGGGGGAATTGATGATGTTTAATTCTCCCCCCCACTCCCTCCTCCTTGAAAGGTTGATGTTGGAACTGCTCAGCATGGAGTATAGATCTTGGTGTGCTGAAGTAATTAATATGACTATGAATTGGTGATATTATCCAATGAGTGTTATAAGACTCAAAAGTGGTTATGAAAACCCTTTTTGCTGAATGGAGAAGGGTATATTGGAGTTGCAAGCTCTGCCCTTCTATACTATCAGAATAACAAGACCACCAAGCTTAGCTTGGCTATTTTATATATGGTGATAG